TGGCTCGAGCGGTCTGGTTTGCTATTCGCTCGAGCGAGAGGTCTGTCGCTCGAGCGTGCTTGTGGTTGCAGACCTGAGGGTTCGAGTTGTTGGCTCGAGCGAGCATTCTTTCGCTCGAGCGCACTTTTGAGTTTTTGGCTCGAGCAAGAGCTTCTTGGCTCGAGCGAGGGTTTTATGTGTCTGGTCGCTCGAGCGACGAAGGCTTCGCTCGAGCGAGCGTGTTTTATATTAGCGGACAGTAGCGTTTTAAACATCACTTTTTCACCTTTTCTTTTTGATCAAACCCTAGATCCGAGACTCTCTCTCTCTACACTTACATTCTCTCTAAGAATTGATCTCCCTAGAGTGTGAATCTAGCCTAGGGCCTTTGTTAAAAAGATAGAGGGCAACTATTAAACAGATTTAATCTGAAAAAGTTGGGATTTGGAACACGTTGATCTTCGAGTCTTCATCTCCTTTTTGGCTCAAACTTCGAGGTAGGGATATCCTACTCCTCTCTATGGGTTTTGTCTTTAAATTTTGGCATTTTGAGATGTTGGGGTTGGTTTGGTTATTTTGTGAAAGTTTGGGGCTTTTGTGTAATTTTACAAAAGTTGGGGTTTTATTCATAATAAACCTGAATGCATGTTTGGCATAGAGAAATGGAATGAATGTTAAACCATTGATGAAAATGGGACCTAAGGGTTGAAATGTTAATTATGGGAATTGACCTAATTACATTGTTTAATTAATTGGGATAATTAATTGAGAGAAATGAGGAAAATGAAATGTTGATTGAATATCCATTGTGCATTTATTTTCTGTTTAGAAATAACTGCTTTGGGCTATCGGTGGAGGATAGTCGTGATTGTTGTAGACAATGCATGATGATTAGGCAAACTGAAACTAATCAATGAAGTGTGTCATGGAACATGACGGTTGATAGAATACATTAACTATATGTATTGAGTGATTGTATATAGAACCATTGTGTTTGTATACGTTATGTGTAGAGGAGGAGATGGGGGATGTACTTCGCGGTTTAGTGGAAGATAGGAGATGTACCTCTAAACCGGATAGTATTGGGAGAAGATAGGGGATGAACTCCGTAGATACAGGTCATATGCTTGTCTAGAAAAGTGAAGATAGAGCTTATATGCTTATCTTTGTGATGTGTGGATATAGCTTTTATGCTTATCTGTGGATATTGTTGTTATACATATCTGTTGAGAATGTGGGTAGTGCTTATATGCCTATCTGTTGAAAAAGGGAAAATGAAAAGTAATTTGGACTCATAAGTCGTATGACATAAATATGTGATTTATGTGATTGTATCAGTGTTGGCCATCTATCAATTGCTAATATTTTAGTCATTGTTCATGGTTGGTTTAGTGTATTTCTACTGGGCTGTGGCTCACCCTATATGGGAATATCATTTTCAGGTGCAGGAAGCATGCCACCTCCAAGGACTTAGCTTGGGAGGCTAGAGGCGGATATAATGTTGTCGTTTTACTTTTGATGTATTACATGTAAATACAAGCCAAGGGCTTAAAGTGTATGAGTTAGTACTCCTTTTTGTGTAACCAAGTGTTAACTTGGAAAGCTGTAAGCCCGTAGGGCATTTTGCTTTTGTTGTTAACATGTAATACTTATGTAATAAGACTCTGAAGATATGGAAGAATGTGGTTATTTCATATGTTAATGAATCTCTTAATTGATGGGTTTAATGCTTTTATTTTGAGGGCGTTACATGTTAACATACGGCGATTTTAAATTCTATACTTTTTTTACATGGTGAAATTCTATAAAAAATTCAAATATGAATTAATATTTTAACTTAAACTTTTAGCAATGAATTTGATAAATTACATTTTAACTTAAACGAACCGCCATCATACAATACCTGCTGAAGTCACTGCTAACGGTGGTGTTGCTGTAGATGGCGGAGGAGTTTTATATTGCAGTGAAATTATTATCGTCTTGAATTGATTTATTATAATTGATTTTTGTAGCAATGAAATTATTATCATTTTGAATTAATTTTTTTGTAAAGGATGTGATACTAATATTAATAATTTATGTTAATTGATTTTTGAAGAATATGTGTACCAATATTATTTACACCGTGCCTTTAGGCATTGGTATACACTAGATGGATAGGGTCTTTTTGGCATTTGGTGAAATTTCATGAGTTTTTTTCCTCCCTTTTTAAATTTTATCAATACACGCATTGGTTCTTATGTGACTAACAACTCAACCGAGCGAAGAAGAAAAGTTAGTTAAGCTTTTGAGAACAAATACATGATAAAAGGGAAGCAAGAGATGGGACAATCTTCATATTTTATGCATCTAATTATATAATATTCTCATTTTAGGCACACAATGATAATGTGTTATCAAAAGCTGCATTGGCTCAACGTACATGACGAGAACGTGAAAAAAATCAAAACTCATGTTCTGCATACCAATTAGGACAACGCATACGACGAGAACGAGAGAGATCAAATGAATGTATTAACCCAAGACAACTTTCTGTAACACCCAATTGGTAAACAACTCAGTTTAATTCTTGAAATATATACTCTCACTATTACCACTTTATTATACAGATTTTAATTTATTCACAATTCATTTTTGTAGGCCTGCTCCTACAACCCCATCTAGAAATGTTGGTGTGGTCATCCGTGATGAGCACGACCTTAATGTTATTCATATTTGTGCGGTAATTACAAAATCAAGTAAAACATTGTATGTATTTTTATTTATATAAGATTTTTTTTTAAATCTTTTCAATATTTTATTTATATTTGTTAGGCAAAAAAAAAAAAGAAAAGGTCAACCCAATGTCTAAGGGAAAAGAAAAGGTGACTCCTTCTGGCAAGAGAATGACAAATACATGTCAAGTGGTATATATTCCTTTTAAAAAATATGAAGCAAAACTATGTGAATTTGTTGCTTTATGTTTCTGCCCGTAGAATGATTGTAATATATTTTCCTATAATTTGCTGTTATTTATATGTGTTTTCCAAATTTATTTATTTTTATCTAGCATAGATACATGTGCATTTATAATGTAACATGTGAAAAGAATAAGAAAAAAAAAACGAAGATATAAAGACAAACTATGTAATGAAAGAATAAACTATATAAGATAGATTTTTATTTCTTCTTTATTTTTTTTTATAAAAAACAAAATGTATAAAGAAAGAAATAAATACAGATAACACTATTAAAGGTATAAAACAAATAAAATATAAAGCAAAATTAAGAGAAACAAAATAAACAAGAAGATATTTCATGTTAAGTACAAAATATCCACATATTTTGCACCAATGACAAAATATTTTCATTTTAGGCACAAAATGATAATGTAATATCAAAAGCTGCTTTGGCCCAGCGTGCACAACGAGAGCGTGAAAAAAATAAAAAGTCATACTTTCAATGCTCGCAACGAGAACAACAGGGATCAGAAGAATGTATTCAACCAATACACCCTTCTTTAGCACCAAATCGTCGCAATTGCACTTGCCTGGAATGGGAAACAATAACTGAAGATTCTCATTTGACACAAAAATGAGCAATGGTTGCCCATCATTCTACATGTTCGTTTTCTATGCCAAACACGTCTTTACCTCCACAAAGGAGTCGGTAAACTACTATGTCTAATCTTGAAATACATATTCTTACCATTTTGTTTTATATAATTTTATTTATACACAAACATTCGTAGGTCTACTTCTATAAATCAATTTCTTAAAGAAGATCTATGTACTGATGATGAATTAAAAGATATGCCTATGAGTACATCAATTGATGCCCGAGCACACAACAATTCTTGCCGCCATTATCTTGGCAAGATGGACGTATTATGTCCTTATTGTTCAGGCTTACATTGGATGGATGAAAAATTGACCAAATCATCTATAAAGCCTCCCTTATTCGGAACTTGCTATTTGGAAGGGAAGATTAGGCTACATTTACTTATTACACCTCCTCCATCACTTCAAGCGTTGTATGATGGGAATAATGATCAATCAAAATCCTTTCGAGGTTATACTCGATTGTACAATGCAACCAATGCTTTTACAAGTCTTGGTGCAACATTGGATCCTAGAGTACTCAGTGGAAGGGGTCCTATATCATTCACAATTCATGGGGAATTACGATATTGAACAGGATCACTACAACCACAACCAGGACAGGATGCGAGTTATGCTCAATTGTATATCTGTGACCCTGATTCAGCGTTAGAAATTCGTAATCGTAGAAATCCTAACTTGAGAAGGGATGTGCTCAAGACTATTCAGGATAGTTTGTTGCAAGTCAATGCATTTGTATTTACATTTCGCCAAGCTCATGCCATTTTACATCAATTAGACGCGGCATGACACAATCTACCTGCTCATCTTCATTACAATTCAACAACTGATCAACGTCGGTATAACTTACCAACTGCAGATGAGATTGCGATTGTAATACCAGGTGATGGAACAGAGGTAAGTGTAATGAGAGATATTATCTTACATTTCCAAGGAAATAATGAGTTTATGCAAATTAATGAATGTCACCCAGCATACTTGCCATTACATTATGTTCTATTATTTCCTTATGGTGAGCTTGGATGGGAACCTGAGTTGAAATTGTGGAATGTTCAATATGATCGACCTTCAACTGATTGACTTACTTAAATGGATTTTTATAGTTATCGTTTGTTTGAACGACCCACTGAGTATTCAACTATTTTGAGAGATGGGAAACTATTTCAAGAGTTTTTGGTAGATGCTTGGGCCACAACTAAGCAAAATCGATTGACATACTACAAGCTTAATCAAGGGAAACTTTGGGTTGAGCTTTACCAAGAGTTGTCAGATATTGATCCAGATTATGTGTGACCTGGTCAAATTGGTCAAAGGTTTGTTTTGCCATCTTCATTTACTGGTAGTCCTAGACATATGTTTGAAATCTTTCAAGATTCAATGGCTATCACGCGATACAACCAACACCCAGATATTTTTCTTACCATGACTACAAACCCTAATTGGCCAGAAATTACTTCAGCATTATTATCATATCAAAAACCTATTGATCGTCCTGATTTAATTACTCGTGTTTTTGAGTTGAAGAGAAAATATTTGATGAATGAGATAGAAGCAAATAAAGTGTTTGGAAATAAAGTTGCACATGTTTTTACAATTGAATTTCAAAAACGAGGCCTCCTCCATATGCATGCACTTTTATTTCTTAAGGGTCTAGACAAAATTCGGACATGTGCTCAAGTAAACAAATTGGTCTGTGCAGAATTTCCAGACCCAAAAGATGATCCTATGCTTTTTGAAACTGTCAAATGTTGTATGGTACATGGACCATGTGGTGCTCGAAATCCGCATGCACCACGTATGGAAAATGGTAGATGCAGTAAGAGATACCCTCGAGCTTTCACAGAAACAACAACTATGGATCAAGATGGATACTCCATCTATCGTTGTCGCAATAATGGCCAAGTACATACTGTGAGGAGGCAAGAAGTTGATAACAGGAATGTCGTACCATACAATGCATATCTTTCTAAACTTTTAAACTGTCATATAAATGTGGAAGTATGCATCGGAATGAGATGTGTCAAGTATATACGTAAGTACACTTATAAGGGTTATGATCGTACAACGATGGTGTTGGGATCGATAAATGAGATTCAACAATATCTCGATGCAAGGTATATTGGACCTCCAGAAGCTGCTTGGTGAATATTTGGTCATCCTTTGCATACAGAGATACCAACAGTTGTACGATTGGCACTTCATTTACCTAGAATGCGTCGCGTTGTTTTTAACCTAGAAGAGTCATTAAAAACGATTCAATCTAGAGCTGGTCAACAAATGTCAACTCTTACTGGCTTCTTTGCATATTATGCTGCCAGTGAAGATGAATGTCCATTCACTTATCAAGAATTTCCGCAGCATTTTGTATGGCTCAAGTTAGAAAAGAGATGGAAATCAAGAGAAAGAGGATATGCAATTGGTAGAATGTACTTTTCCAGTCCTAATTGTGGTGAAAGATTTTATCTGCGTTTGTTACTAATTGTTGTCAAAGGACCAAAGTCGTTTCGGTCTTTACGCACGGTCGATAATGTTGTGCATGATACATTTAAATTAGCATGTGTTGCAAGGGGGCTTTTAGAAGATGATGAAGAATGGATACAATGCTTGAAAGAGGCTGTAGTTATGAAAACTGGATACCAATTGAGAAGATTGTTTAGTGTTATTCTCACCCAATGCTCTCTACTAAATCCATGTGCATTATGGAATCAATTCTCAACGCATATATGTAATGATCTTGCACATAAGATTCGTACATTGTTTGCCATTTCTAACCCAACTGAGGCTCAAATTGAAGATTATGGTCTCCATCTTTTGAATCAAATGCTTCATGAATCAGGCAAATGTTTAATTGACTTCCCACCCATGCCACAACCTACCGCAAATTGGAGTGCAGTAGTTGGTAATCGATTGATATTCGAACATCAACAACTGCAGAATGAGGCACAACAGGCATATCCACAAATTACTATTGATTGTCTCAACAATGGACAACGGAATGCTTATAACACAATCACTTCTTCAATTTTTCAAAATAAATGAACTATTTTCTTTCTTAATGGGGGTACTGGAACAGGGAAAACATTTCTGTACAATACGATTGCATTAAAATGTCGTAGCCTTGGGCATATTGTTGTTACTGTGGCTTCATCTGGAATTGCATCATTGTTATTGGTAAGAGGTCGCACTGCACATTCAACATTTTCCATACCGTTAGATGTCTTGGAAAATTCACTTTTTGGGTTTACCAAACAATCATTACAAGCTGAGTTGTTTAGAGAAACAAAACTCATAATTTGGGATGAAGTTCCTATGCAACATAGACATTGTGTTGAGGCGGTTGAAACATTGAGGGATATTCGTGATAGTGAAAAGCCATTTGCGGGTATTACTGTTGTTCTTGGTGGAGACTTTCAACAAATCTTACCGGTTATACCCAAAGGAATTCGTGAGCAAATTGTGAATGCATCATTAAGACACTCTGTTCTATGGAAGCATATACATATCTTAACTTTGGATTTGAATATGCGCTTGAATCATGGAGACCATGAAAATGCTATTTTTGTAAATTTCTTGATGGAGGTAACGCTACTTTAACCTTTTGCTTTATTATTTTAAATTAATAAATTGTGTTTACACTCATATTTTTTTTAATTGATTTCACTTTTTTTAGATTGGGACTAATCCTCAAGAAATCATCAACCTTCCATCAACAATACACAAATGTCAAGATTTGAATGAATTGCTCTCTATAGTTTACCCACAGTTGAATATGACAGAGACGTCGACCCCAACATTTTTAACTGAACGCACCATTCTATCTACCCGTAACGATGATGTCAGTGACATTAATACTACTGCGTTGAATATCTTTCCAGGGAGATTATATACTTATTTTGCAGCAGATAAAATGTCTGAAGATAATGAAATCGATCCTACCATTACAAATAGATATCCTAATGAATATTTAAATTCATTGGATCCTCTCGGGCGACCAACTTTTAAGTTAGAGTTGAAAGTGGATTGTCCTATAATATTGTTAAGAAATATTGCACCGAAAGATGGACTATGTAATGGTACAAGATTGATGGTTACTAGGTGCGACACTCGCATAATTGAAGCTCAAATTTTAACTGGAGAAAAGTTTGGCAATTTGGCATTCATACTAAGGATATCTTTGACACCATCTTCTTCAGAAATGCCTTTCCAAATGACAAGACGTCAATTTCCAGTCTGATTAGCATATGCCTTGACCATTAATAAATCTCAAGGACAATCTGTGAAATTTGTTGGGGTTGATTTGCGCATACCAGTGTTTAGCCATGGCCAATTATATGTGGCATTGTCCAGATGTACATGCTTTGATCGTGTAAGTATTCTCCTCCCTAAAGATAGTTTGGATTCTACTAGAAATGTTGTTTATCCTGAAGTGTTGTTGTAGTGTTCCATGTTCATTAAATCATGTTTTATCAAAAGGTAACCATGTAGATTTCTTTCTATTGATTATATACATAGATTTTTTTATAAAATTTCAATCTAATAATAATTGGAAATATGGATTTTTTTAGGATTGGATCAAAAAATTTATGGAGCTTAAAAGGAGAAATACAACTAGCTTGCTTCGATGGGGATGTAATAAGGTAATTTCAATCTCAAAGTATTTTGATATGTATATTTCTAACAAGTGTACCAATCTATATATTTTTTTTGTTTCCATAAATTACCAGATTGTTGTGCATGTTCCTCATTGGGGATACATACAAGTTGATACAAAGACTTTTTCGAAAGTAATGAGGAGGAAGTTTGGGCAAACACATGTTTGAAGAGATGTTATTGACACATCTTCTGTAAAGCATACATATTCTGGAAAGGTTCTACCCACTTTTTTTTATAAAGTTTTAACTCACTCTTTTGGCGTATGACAATATAATGTTTGTTTTTCTTATGTAGTTAGAATTTGATTGGCAGCAGTAACACTAATTGGTGTGCATTTTAATTTTAATTTCTTTTAAATTGCAAAGTACTGGCTGGTGTGCATTATTTGATATTTAATTTTTTTTTATATTTGATTTGTTTGGAATTGTAAACTATAGTCTATTAAATATATTTTTATAATTGCATTTTAATCTTAAATTTAAATATTGTTGCAATTACAATTATATTATAATCCTAACATTATTTACACCGTATCTTCAGGCACGGGCATACGCTAGTAATATTATATTATACAAATAAAATATATATAAATATACTATATATGATCAACACATATATATACATATATATGAAACACATTATATATATATTATATAATTAAATATTACATTAAATTAATTAAATACCTCATTAAATTCTCATGTAACCACACAATTAATAAAGTCAAAAATAAAATAAGATAATAATAAAAATAAATAAATAAATAAAGGCTTACGAAAAATCAGGGTCGCTACATTATATATATAAGCCAAGAAACCTAGGTGTATAGGAAAGCTAGGTGTACAAGAATACAAGAGTCCTAAGTATAATTGAAATAAATAACAAGTAACACTAATCAATAAATTATGAGAATAAGAAAATCTAACTAATATGGAAAATAATATACTCTAGATATGCTTTAACAGTTTGATCTAAATTATACTTTGGTCATTATCGTTTCAATTTGAATAATTTGGTTCCTACATTTTAAGTTTAGTTTCAATTTAGTGTTAATTTTAACTATATGTACAACTTAGAAAATTGATAAGCATTACATAATTGTTAATTATATATAATTTTCAATTTGGATGAAATGACCAAATTGAAACTACTTTTAAAGTGTAAGGATCAAATTATTTAATTTAAAACTATAGAAACTAAAATAAAATTTAACTCAACCTATAGGTGTCATGACCTGAACCCGCTCCCATGGGTTAAGGACATAACTGGCCAGTAATCATGAGATTACCTACGGCCTCAAACCAAACCAAGCGTATTTTAACAGAGTTAAAGGGGACCAAACACAAGCAATTTAAAACTTTGTCCATAGAGTTGTGCTTACATGGCACATCAAAACAAACCATACACATATACATTAATAACTCACAATAGATACATAGTACCATAAAGTTCTGTACAGACAAGATCATCCAAAACTAAGTCAACCCATGAAAACTACATACAGACATATTCAAATACTTCGCCAACATAACAACTTAGAACAAAATAACAAAAGGCGAAGGCGAGTCTCATGCGTGAGACACATAGGCTGACTTTTCAAAACTCGGTTGTTCCATACAGACTTCACTGGGGCTGGGTCTGGACCTCTCTTGGCTCACCTACAAACACATGAATGAGCGTGAGCGAAAGCCCAGTGAATAATATCAAAGAAAGAAAATACATTGGAACATTATACATCAGACGGCCTTGGGCCCAATTCATTCATGTCAAATTGGCCTTTGGCCTTTTCAAACGTTCATATCAGACTAGCATTTTGGCCTTATCAAACTTTCGTATCAGACTGGGCTTTCGGCCCTTTCAAATATTCATTTCAGACTGGCCTTTAGGCCTTTCAAACTTTCATATCAAACTGGCCTTTGGGCCCTTTCAAACTTTCATTTCAGACTAGCCTTTAGGCCCTTCAAACTTTCATATCAAACTGGCCTTTCGGCCCTTTCAAACTTTCATTTCAGACTGGCCTTTAGGCCCTTCGAACTTTCATATCAAACTGGCTCTTAGGCCTTTCAAACTTTCATATCAAACTGACTCTCAGGCCTTTCAAACATTCATATCAAACTGGCTCTTAGGCCTTTCAAACTTTCATATCAAACTAGCCCTTAGGCCTTTCAAACTTTGTCCACCATTCAAATTAATGAACTTTAAGAACTTACATAGAAGTAAGCAATTGGACAAAAACGTATTTCAGATATTACTCACAGTGATCAGCTTGTGGATTTGCCCTGGATCTTGACCCTGCACATCACATAACACATATGGGTCACAATTAATTCAATCCGTTCTTTAATTCACATATTCCTCTTTAGGCTTCATTCTTATCTCTTTAATTCAATTACAATACTCAATGTATGCCTAAGAGTGCTATGAAGTGAAAGGGAACGGAAAATAGAACACATAATGCATTTTTAAAATTTCAGAAAACAGGGTCCCCGCTC